CGTGGGGCCTGAACTCTGGGCCTGGGCGCTGTCCCTCAGCTCTTCAGCTCAAGGCTAGCGCTCTACCACTTGAGCCACAGCATCACTTCCAGTTTTTTTCTTTTTTGCTTATGTGGTGCTGAGGAATCAAACCCAGGGCCTCATGCATGCAAGGCAAGCGCTTTACCACTGAGCCACCTTCCCAGCCCCTCAGCTCTTAATCTTGTTACCCTGGAATTCTTGCATTTCTTAGAACATACCCAGTTTACTCCCTGCATCAAGTCCTTAATATTTGCTATTGTCCCATCCTCAAATGTTTTCATCTGGATACTTGTTTTGTTCCTTTATTTCTTTCATTTTTCTCTTTGGTTAACTTGTCTTCACAGGAAAGGTATTTTCTACTTTCTAGCTTCTTCACCACCATATTTTCTTTTCTTTTTTTTTTGGCAGTACTTAGGTTTGAACTCAGAGCCCCATGCTTGCATAGTGGTGCTCTCCCAGTTGAGCCATGCTTTCTGTCTTGGCCTTTTGCTGGTTATTTTGGAGTCTAGTGAACTTTTTTTGCCCAGGCAGGCCTGAAACCACAATCCTCGGGATCTTTGCCTCCTGAGTAGTTAGGGTTATAGGAAAGAGCTTCCAGCACCTGGTTCCATATTTTCTTTATATATACTGCCTGATAGGTATTTGCTTTTAGACTAAATCCTAATAGAATATATGTTCTATTTATTGTTACCCACAATACTTAGAATAGTATCTGGTACATAGTATGCCTTTAAAATGTCTTATGAGTGAACACTTCATGCTAATTGTTGCTGCAAGTTGTATGCCTGTCCTCCTAGTAAATGGGTTGCCTCCTGCTTTCCCTACCAAACTGAAAGGGTGATTTTTGAGAGGTTCTGACTTCTAATATTGAACTGCTGGCCAGTATCCTGCTTGTTAATGAAACTGGAGTCTGATGAAGTCATGAACCTAATCAGAATCTTTCTGAAACTTACTGTATAGATGAGACTTTGTGGTCAATAACTTGGAAGCCCGCTGTCAAGGGAAGGAAGTCTAGACCTCTTGGCACTTTCTCTCATTTACAGAAATCACAGATGAAGACAACAGCATAGCTGCCATGTACCAGGCTGTCAGTGAACTGCCCCAGGCCAACAGGGACACATTAGCCTTCCTCATGATTCACTTGCAGAGGTGAGTAGAGCAGAAACTTCTTCTGGGAGTTAGGGAATTTTCCAAGGAGAAGATAATATGGGTCGGATGTTAGAAGTGTGAAGGGTAAATTGCTTTCTTGTAGAATTTATGTTTTGGTCTACATTTAAGGGGAAAAGCAAGTCTTCTAATTTAATTCTCCTCTGCTTAGAGTGGCTCAGAGTCCAAACACTAAAATGGATGTTGCCAATCTGGCTAAAGTCTTTGGCCCTACGATAGTTGCCCATGCTGTGCCCAATCCAGACCCGGTGACAATATTACAGGATGTCAAGCGTCAACCCAAGGTAGGAGGGAGTGGGAGAGAGAGAGGGAAGGAGAAGAAAGGGAGGGGGAGGGGAGATGGGGAAGGAGAGAGATTGCAGTGTAATAACATGAGAGAACAGTGAGAACCCTGAGCTTTGGAAGCTTGTGAACATACTTGGTGCATTTTAGGTGGTAGAGCGTCTGCTTTCACTGCCCTTGGAATACTGGAGTCAGTTCATGATGGTGGAGCAAGAGAATATTGATCCCCTGCGTGTCATTGAAAACTCAAATGCCTTTTCAACACCACAGACACCAGATATCAAAGGTCAGGGTTAAGTTGTACTTCTTCAGTTTTCTCTGTGTTTTAGCTACAGCTGTTTGATATTCATGTTCTTCAATAAAAATTAAATTTATTATGAAAGTTCTAACATTAATGGAGAAATTGTACATTTCTACCATCCTAATGTTTTTTCAGTTTTTTTCTCTCTCTCTTTTTTTTTTGGGTAGGGTCAAACTTAGAGTCTTACACTTGCTACAGCAACTGCTCTACCACTTGAGCCAAGCCCAGTCATATGTTTTTTTGTTTTTTTTTTTTGGGGGGGGGTCTGGTCGTGGGGCCTGAACTCTGGGCCTGAGCACTGTCCCTCAGCTCTTCAGCTCAAGGCTAGCGCTCTACCACTTGAGCCACAGCGCCACTTCCGGCTTTTTTCTTTTTGCTTATGGTGCTGAGGAATCGAACCCAGGGCCTCATGCATGCATGGCAAGCGCTCTACCACTGAGCCACCTTCCCAGCCTCTGTCATATATTTCTTTCTCATGTAGATGTATATTTTTTAAATTTTGATATGACAACAATAGGATATAACTTGTTCTTATTTCACTTAGTATATTGTGACAGTTTTTTTTGTTGTGGCTGTATAAACTTAATTTGCAATCTTACTTAAATGTTCTATTAAGTATTGACATTTTCGGTTTTTCATGGTTACAAATAATGATACAGCCAACATGATATGTATATTACCTAATGATAAATTCCTGAATGGAAATTAAAGGACTTGATCATTTTTATGTTTCTTGATGTATTTTACCAACTTGATTTATTTCTTTTTATTTATTTTTGTTTTGTGGTACTGGGGATTGCACCTGTGGCCTTCTACAGTTGAGCCATACAACTTGAGCCACACTCCCCGCACTAAACTTTATTTTTTGGTTGGTGGTACTGAGATTTGAACTTAGGGCCTTGTATTTGCTAGTCAAGAGTTCTATAATTGTAGGTATGCGCCTAACCTTTTTGCTTTGTCAGAGGAGGTCTCATTTTTGCTCACACTGGCCTGGACTGTGATCCTCCTGTTTAAACTTCTCTCATAGCTAGGATGACAAGCATGTGCTATTGTATCCATATTATTTCTTTCTTTTTTTTTTAATTTACATGTTTTATTTGGAAATGTTTATACCAGAATAGTGAAATTAAATTTTAGAGACAATGAATATCATTAGTTTAGGGCTGGGAATGTGGCTCAGTGGTAGAGCATTTGCCTTGTATGCCAGAGGCCCTGGGTTCGATTCCTCAGCACCATATAAGCAGAAAAAAAAGCCGGAAGTGGCACTGTGGCTCAAGTGGTAGAGCGCTAGCCTTGAGCTGAAGAGCTGAGGGACAGCGCCCAGGCCCGGAGTTCAGGCCCCACGACCGGACCTAAAAAAAAAAATTTTTTTTTAAATATCATTAGTTTAGTTACCATCAGTTTATTATAAAAGGGAGATATGGAAATTATTTACATGATGAAAGATCTCAGAACTTCCATGAAATGGGCAGCTTCACAGGATGCCATGTTAGTGTTGTATTCACTCTACATACTTCCCAAGAATGTCACCATCCCTAAATAAGAAATAATCCTTGTCATCTAGAACTACTTTTGTGCCTCCATATTCTGGGAGAAGAACTTTATCACCCACTTTCACACTAACTGGCTGAATCTCTCCACCCTTTCCTTAGAGCCTGATCCCACAGCCACTACTGTGGCTGGCAATATTTTTCCTTGAGACTTTTCTGGAAGCATAATGCCTCCTTTGGTTACAGTTTCAGCTGCACTCCTTTCGACCAACACTCAGTCAGCTTGTCCGGCCATGGCTCTTCACAGTCGCCACTCGGACTCTGCTCTCACGCCGACGCTGCAACCCATTTTATTTCTTGAGATGGAGTTTCACAGTTTTATTTAGGCTGGCCTCGAACCCTGGTCCTCTTGAGAGTTAAGCTGAGTTTACAGGCTCAACTTGGCCTGTTTTTGTTTTTGTTTGGTTGTGGGGCTTTGAATTTAGGGCCTGGGCTCTGCCCCTGAGCTCTTTTTCCTCAAGGCTAGTGCTCTACCACTTGAGCCACAGCACCACTTTCAGCTTTTTCTGAGTAGTTTTTTTGGAGTTAAGAGTCCCACAGACTTTCCTGCCAGCCTGGCCTGGAATCACAATCCTTAAATCTCAGCCTCCTGAGTAGCTAAGATTACAGGCATGTGCCACAGTGTCCAGCCCAAGTTGGCTTCTAAAGCTTTTCCACCAACAGTTTTGTGTGATTATGATGGAAGTTCTTTTTAAGGAAGCCCATTATTCCAGTACATCTACAAATCAGTGTTCAGATGTTAGATATGTGAAGTATGGAGTTTGAGAATGGAAGTGTATGTCAGCTATTCATTGAATAGTTGCCTGCAGTTTAAAATATAACATCAGTATGTTACAAAATGATGACAAAAATGGTCTGTGAGATGTTGCTAGGTGTCTAAACTTAGCTTGTAAGTACTTTAGAAAGCAGTCAGCTTTAAACTGACCATCTTCAAAGGTGTGTTATTTTTTTTTTCCTTCCTCTTAAAAATATGTCTTGATCTTTGTTTGAAGTGAGCTTACTGGGGCCTGTGACCACGCCTGAGCACCAGCTTCTCAAGACTCCTTCATCAAGTTCCCTGTCACAGAGAGTCCGCTCCACCCTCAGCAAGAACACTCCCAGGTATGCAGTATTACCTTCTTGTGAATAAAAAAATGACTGTTTCCTTAGACTTCTTCCCTAGCATATTGAAACCTACTGAAGAAAAATAAAAGTATATCGTAAGCTAGAAGCTAACCTTAAAAGGAAACTTAGAGACCCAGTGCTAGTAGCTTACATCTATAATCCTATTCAAGAAGTGAAGGATCATGGTTTGAAGCCAACCTGGACAAAAAAAGTTGGCAAGCCTTTATCTCAACTAATAAAAAACGGGGAGCTCTAATTCAAGCCTGTCATCCCAACTATGGAGAAGGCTAAGATCAAAAGGATGGGAGTTCCAGCCAGCCTGGGCCAAAAAGGTCTTGAGAATTCATCTCAGCAACAAAAGCTAGGTGTGATAGTATGCCTCTGTTATCCCAGCTATGGCAGGAAACGTGAATAGGAGGATTACAGCCCAGGCTATAGCTAGGCAAAAAACAAAACCCTGTCTCAAAAATAACGAGCAAAAAGGTCTGGAGACATAGCTCAAGTATTTGCCTACCTAGCAAGTGTGAATCCCTGAATTCAAACCCCAGTACTTTGAAAAAAGAAAAAAGGAAAAGTTGGAGCCCCGGTATCCATTTTTAAGAGGGTCTGGTTAGGTGTGGTAGTGCATGCCTTTAATGCAAGCTCTTACAGTCTAAGGCAGGAGTATGAGCTTCATGTCCACCTGGGCTACATAGTGAGACTCTTTCAAAAAGACAAGAAGAATCTGAGGCCAGGTACCAGTGGCTCACACCTGCAATTCTAGCTACTCAAGAGGCTGAGATCTGGGTGTTACCATTTAAAACCATCCCTGGCAGTAAAGTCCATGAGACTTTTAACTCCAATCAATCACCAAAAAGCCAGAAGTGGAGGTGTGGCTCAAATGGTAGAGTGCTAGCTTTGGTCAAAAAAGCTCAGAGACAGCACCCAGGCCCTGAGTTCAAGTCCCAGGACTGGTCCATGTGCACACGCGTGTACACACACACACACACACACACACTCTCACACAAAAGGAAAGGGCTGAAGGTCTTTACTATTTTCGTTTCAGTAGTACCAAGAATACATCACAGAATTGTCCAAGGTTTCCTACTTTTAGTCAGTTATATCTGCTAACATTGCAGTTGTTTATTTACCATTTGTATTTTCATGGAATATTTTCTGATTCATTCTTTTCTATTTTTTGTAGATTTGGGAGCAAAAGCAAGTCTGCCACCAACCTAGGACGACAAGGCAACTTTTTTGCTTCTCCAGTCCTCAAGTGAAGTCACCCTGCTTCCTACTTGCCAGCTTTTACTGACTGCAAGAAAGGGCACACCTGTACTCTGCTTTGCAGCCTCCGTACTACTTTTAGCATTCTCCAGGCTTTTAATCAAGTTTAATTGTGCATGAGGGTTTTATTAAAACTATATATATCTCCCTCTCTTTCTCCTCTAGTAACATAATATCAGCACCTTGTGCTAGTTGTGTGTTAGAAACTTTTAGATGAGAAATCTTTTCTACAGGGGTAGGTAGAAGGGATAATATGGAATTTATTGTGATTCTTTTGGGGGCAAGGACATCCCTTTGACTCAAAACCAGATGCTACGTAGAGTGACTTCTCTGGTTTTTATGTAGAACTAATATTCATGAGACAGGGACTGAAACCCTACATCTTTGGTAAGACCAACTTATGTCAGGGCAGGAAGTGAGAGGGCAGGGTAAAGACAGGATTGGGCAGGGGATGCAAGATGGTTGCCTCTCAACCCTGAAGTCCCTTTTCTCTCTTGAATTGAGCTGTAGCATGAGCCTGCAGAAAAATGGGATAGGTTGCAAACAGAACTAGTGGTGGGAGAATCTTTAGCTTTAATTTGGATTGATTAGATCTTAGTATAAAATGGCACAACCTTGTAATACTACAACTTGTATTTATCTCTAATGGACTACTGACTGGGCTTTGGACTTGGTTGGGATCAGCGTTTGTTTGTTCTTCTAAAGTTGAATTCATTCTGATGGCTGACTCTCTTACCCCTTGTCCAGCAAAAACCGTGTTTTCTAAAGGTCAGTTTGATGTCTGTCTGGCATCCCAGCTAACAATTAAGATTAGTTTGTAAAGAAAGTGTCAATATTTCGTGTGGCAATAAAAGCCACAGTCGTTTTTGCTTTTGCACTTTGGATGCTGAATTTTCCCATGAAACAGTCACATCTAGGTAAACGTGACTTTTCTTCTGTCAGATTATTCCCAATACCTGTAAAAATGGTTTTCTTCTGTAGAATGTTTCTGACTCACATTGACCTTTGTCTATAAGACTCATATTTGGAATAATATTTGAAGAAAAGTAAATAGCTTTTTCACAATGTGAGGCTGCTTTTCTTGTCTTGGATGGTAACTTCCAACACCTTTTTAGAAAATAGCTTTCCTCAAAGTATTTTGGGTCTCTTGTTCATCTCCATTTCTCGTTCCCTGTACCCAATGGCCACCCCCTAGTTCACCACTTTCAGAGATTTCTTTATTTCTTTTTCATTCTCTTTCTTTGTCCAAACTAAAAGTCTAGATATCATAACTATTATCCTCTTATTTGAAGCAAGAACTTTAAACAAACAAAAAAAAAAAACAACTTTTAAACTAGTCTCTAGGGACCAGACTGGTACAGATTTTTAAAAAAAGAAAAAGAAAATTTGCTGCTGGCTGGCGGGCTGCCTGGAACATCCTTCACTGCTGGAAGTGACTGTGGAGTGAGCTGGGCTGATTAACTGAGGGCACCTGCACTTGGAACTCTGAGGCTGGTGAACAGAATGTATTTGAGATTGAACGTAAACAGTTGCAGGCTTAATATGTAACCGTGGAGAGAGGAGGCAACCTACTGGCTTTTTTCCCAGGAGGGGGCAGCTCTCACAGCAGGGCCCATCTGCCTCAGCAAATTGACAGAGGATGGGTCCCATCTCCCCAACCCTCCCCCTTAACACACATGACTGCTAGGATTTAGTGTGATTTTTTTGTTTGTTTTTTTTTTTAAACTTTGTCCTAGATGCTACCTCTTTTCTTGTCTTTGCAAGCCTCAAGTTGGCTTGGCTCCATATTTGCTGTTTTGTAGCATCTCCCCAAGGTGCATTTGAAGTCACTAATGTAGAGGAAGTAAATGGATTGTGTAACATTAGTGAAGGCAAGACTACCCTATGCAGGAATTGATGGCCCATAAATGAAAAAGGAAATAGTCCTGTGTGTCAAATGTTGGCAGCTCATAGTTGCTCAGATTTTGGGCTAAGCCAAGAACTCTTAGCTGTGAAAATAATTCTGATATTAGCAAAGGGGAAAATATACCCACTTTCAGCTTAACAGTGCTTCATGTGCAACAGCTTTGCTATTGAGGGATTCCTTAATTAAATTATCTGTGCTTTGACTTGACTGGCGCCCCCATCTCTTGGTCCTCACCCTTTCTGATGCTGCCTCTTTCTTCACCTTTGATGCAATTTAACTTTATTTCATTTGCTAATAATGGGAATCTAAATTGTTTACTCCTATTCTCAAGATTGTATAAGAATCCTGAAGCCAGGAGCTGATGGCTCATGCCTATAATCCTAGCTACTCAGTAGGCTGAGATCTGAAGATCACATTTCAAAGCTACCCCGGGCAGGAGAGTCTGTGAGACTCTTATCTCCAATAAACCACCAGAAGAATGGAAGTGGTGCCTGTGGCTCAAGCGGTAGAGCGCTCACCTAGAGCTGAAAAGCTCAGCACCAAGGGGGGAGTTCAAGCCCCACAACAGACAAAAAAAAGAATAATAAGTGTGATGGTTTTGTTTGTTTGTTTTAAATTACTGAGACAAAGTCTTCTATGAGGCCTAAGTGTCTGGAACCTGTTATGTAGCCCAGGCTGACCTAGAACTTGTGATCATCCTGCCTTAGCCTCCTGAGTGTTAGGAGTGTAGGAATGCCCTACCTTGCTTGGCTGTGTGTTTGATGCTTTTCAACTGGATAGATAATCCAGTATTATTATTAATTTTTTTTTTTTGGTCTGTTGTCTGTTGTGGGCTTGAACTCTGGGCCTAGGCGCTGTCCCTGAGCTCTTCAGCGCTTGGCTAGTGCTCTACTGCTTGAGCCACAGGTTCACTTCTGGTTTTCTGAGTGGCTAATTAGAGATAAGAGTCTCACAAATGGTCCTGCCTGGGCTGGCTTTGAACTGTGATCCTCAGATCTCAGCCTCCTGAGTAGCTAGGATTACATGCATGAGCCACTGGTGCCTTGCTGATCTATCACTATTAATACATTTTACTGGATGTGTAGTGTTTTTTCCTTAGGAGGCTGGGGCAGCATGACTGAAACGATAGAGCACTTGCCTAGTAGGCACAAGGTTCTGAGTTCAAACCCTAGTAACACTCCCCCCCACACATACAAGCAAGTTGGTTGCTTGTTAACATAGAAGACACCTTAGTTTCAGTTAGAAGACAGTAGGATGCAGTTGACTACCAGAAAAAAAATTAGCCACAAATTGAACTTGTGGTAATAACATTGGATAGCTGAGAGCAAAGAAAGGATTGTTGTTTTTGTTATAGTAGGCACTACCTGCTCACCTCGGATAGATTCATGTATAGTAGCCCCTTTGACTTTCAGAGGATATGCTTCAAGATCCCCCAGTGCTGCCTGTAAACCATAATCATAGATACACACACACACACATATATATACACACACATATATATGTATATATGATGTATATATTATATATACTACATATATGTATTATATATAGTATATACATTATATATAATAAATTTTAATTTATAACTTAGATATAGAATATACTATAATGAAAGTTATATGATATCTCAGAATAAGAGTTTTTGCTTTTGAAAGTGTGGAATCTGCACAGTATGAGCTTTATCACGTGGCCTGCAGTATTAACACCTAGTTGCAGAGTTAATCTGTCTCCCCATTTTATGCCCGATGAGTCCTTTACATTTTACATTTTTGCTGAATAGGTTTATTTTTATATGCAAAGCCTCACTTGCTAGGCAGGCCCCCTAACGCTTGAGCCATGTCTGCACTTCCTTTTCCTGTAGTTATTTTTCAGATAAGGTCTCCCACATTTTGCTTGTGGCCGGTCTCGCACCATGATTCTATCTCTGCCTCCCGTGGAGCTGAGGATACAGCTAGGAGCCACGCAACTTGGTGTAGGTTCCATTGGTGGTCATCTGGAAGTTTTATGGAAACTGAAGTCATGGATTATGTCCTTTCTCCATCAAATTTAGTTCTGTTGGAGAACAGCTTCATTAATAGATAGTCTCTTGGTAACATACTTTTCAGTCCAAACCTGTTTCTCAATCTGTGGGGCTATCCCTTTTTTTCAGTAAATAGCTTGGTGTCACGGTTTCTTTACTAAAGCCTTACTAAGGCCTTTGTACAAGCTCTTTGCTTTCTGGTACAACCCACTGCAGTCAGTTAAAACACATTTTCTGTTCACGGCTTCCACCCATAAATTGAATGTCCTACATCTTTTTTTTTTTTTTTTCTTTTTGAGTTGCCAACTCAAACCCTGCTCCGGTCAGATTGAGCCCTCCCTGTTTTTTCTTTCTTGATTTTTTTTTTTTTTTTTTAGTCAGTCTTGGAGCCTGATCTCTAGGCCTGAGTGCTGTCCCTCAGCTCTTCAGCTCAAGGCTAGCACTCTACCACTTGAGCCAGAACGCCATTTCCGGCTTTTACTGCTAATGTGGTGCTGAGGAATCGAACCCAGGGCCTCATGCATGCAAGGCAAGCACTCTACCACTGAGCCACCTTCCCAGCCCCGTCTTCTACATTTTAACTACACACTCATCACACCCTTTTGTAGTCTGAGAGGTATGACAACCAATTGCTCAAATCACTTTTTTTACTTAAAGGAAGCTCTTTTTGGCCTATCCACGTCACCAGCACCATTACTTGTGTTTTGTGACCATTATTAAGTAAAATAAGGGTTACTTGGCTACAAGCACTGTGACAACCTGCTAGATGGTCTGATAAGCTAATGGGCAGGTGGCATGCATTATACATCCCAGGGAGAACAGAGAAGAATGGAACAAGAAAGTCATTATGCTTACTAAGAACTCATGATTCAAAACTGATGAATCATCCATTTATGGAATTTTCCATTTGATGTTTTTGACTCATGGTTGACTGCAGGTAACTGAAACCACAGAGGGGGGCGCTAGTGTACCCATATATATGTATCCACATGCATAACCATATCTATACACACTGCATGTCTGACTTCTATTGGAAAGCACTTAAGGAATTCACTGCTATGCTAAGTGGTTTTCTTATATACATATGACTTTTTCTAGGGTTCTCACCATGATCAAAGAAGAGGTATTGTAGAAGCCTACATTTGAGAAGTGAGGTTGACAGAGTTCAGTGTTCAAGTCAGCACAGTTCATAGTAGTAGATTTTCAACAATGTGCTTTGATATTTGATATGATCATCATGACTTCAGGTTTCAACCACTGGTTTGAAAATCCTTGCAGAATTGAGACTTTAGCATTGTGCTTTTAGTATAAACAGGGTTTAGCGTATGGTCACTTAACATAACTTGTTTTTTAAAATATACTTCCTGTAGCTGGCATGTTTTGTAAATAAGCACTGGGCCCTAGCAGCCTAACTTGTATACTTTATCAGACACTGGTTCTCAGAGCTGTGTTTGTTGATAGTTTCTATTCATGTAGTTCAACTTCAGCAGGAATAACCTTGTGAGAGCTTTGTCCTCTGCAGGTATGTGGGAGGGGAAAGGAGACCATATTTGGTAGACTCACAGTTGGAAGTAGGAATTTTTCATTTTCCTTACCTTCTCCCCCATAACTTGCCAGGTTTTATTAAGCTTTATTCCTCACCTCCCCAACATGGTCCTGGCCTGAACTCAGAGCCTGGGCTCTGTCCCTGAGATTTTTTTGTTTGTTGGTCATGGGGCCTGAACCCTTGGCCTGGGTGCTATTCCTCAACTCTTCAGCTCAAGTGCTCTACCACTTGAGCTACAGAGCCACTTTCAACTTTTTCTGCTTAGGTGGTGCTAAGGAACCGAACTCGAGGCCTCATGCATACAAGGCAAGCACCTTAACACTGAGGCACCTTCCTAGCCTCTGTCCCTGAGATTTTTTTTATGCTCAAGGCTGGAGCTCTATCACTTGAACCACAGCTCCATGACTGGCTTTCTTACCCAGGTTGACTTTCAGCTGTGATCCTCAGATCTTGCCTCCCGAGTAGCTAGAATTACAGGCTGAGTAGGCTTAGAGGCATGAGCCACCAGTGTCCAGTTAGCTTCACTGTTATTTTATATCCAAAAATCACCTCATCTCACATCTGGGCACCAACCCAGTGTTAGGCTCAGACCCATATAAATGGGTAGTGAGACTTGTGAGTAATGCACTTGTCCATTGCTGTCTTCTTGGGTCATCACTGCAGATGATATTAAGACCTGATTTTCTGAAGTGCTGCTGTGTCCAAAATGGTAAAGCCTCAGTGGTAGAGTGCTTGCCTTGCATGCATGAGGCCCTGGGTTCGATTCTTCAGCACCACATAAGCAAAAAGAAAAAAAGCCGGAAGTGGCGTTCTGGCTCAAGTGGTAGAGTGCTAGCCATGAGCTGAAGAGTTGAAGGACAGCGCCCAGGCCCCACGACCTGACCCCCCCCCCCAAAAAAAAAACGGTAAAGCACTAGCCTTGAGCAAAAGAGCTCAAGGATAGCACCCAAGCCCTGAGTTGAAGCCCCATGACAAAAAAAAAAAAAACCTGATTTTTCTAAAAACGCTTAGGAAATGTAATGTTTTATACTCAGAATGCTATCATTACCTACTTGATCTCATCACATCTCTAGGTGGTAGGCAGGACAGGTGATGTCCCAGGTGGCAAATTCAGAAATCATTTGGGCCAAACTCACAAACTAATGCCTACTTGATCTAGGGTTAGATCTTGGAGGTGGCACCTTTAATCTGGAGGTCAGCTATGGTGCTTGCGACTTTTAGCATTTGTGGGATCTGTTAATCATGTATCATAAGGTATTAAATCCTGTGACATTCACTTAGGCCCAGTATTATTTATATCCCAGGCAAGGACGGGTCTTGTTATGCAAAATTAGCAAATGCAAAATGAGCAAAGCTGAAGATGACTATTTACCTTTCAGAAGTTCTCCCCATTATTAGAACTTTTTTTTTCTTATTTTTGAGACAGAATCTTACTGTATTGCCCATGCTGATCTTGAATTCCTGAGCTCAAGGGATTCTACCTCAACTTCCTGAGGGCTGAGTTTACAAACTTGTGTTACTACACATGGTTCTGTAAGAACTTCTGTTTGTAAGTCATACCCAACTTAGGGCCAAGTTTCCATTGACTATATTAATGTAGTTGTGCACTGCCAGGGAGGTCTGGACTCTTAAGGAGAGAAT